ATATTTTAATGCCAAGGCTAACCAGAGTTCTTTCATAAAAATTTCGTAAGTTCATTAAGTATAGAGAACATACAAATCATGTAATAATAATTCACAAAGCATCAAGCCCTAGAGTCAGTTTTATCATTCTCAATAGTCATTTACATTTAATTTCTAGCCTAAAAAGTTCATCTTCATCAGGTATCATCAAAACATTTCCATCTAACTGTCCTACCATTTACTGATGCCATGGCATAACATTATGCTAATATTATCATGCACATGTTCTACAAAGAACACTACCTCCCCCAAACTTGAGAGAAGCATTGTCCTCAATGCTGAATAAAAACTAAGTTAAACTAGACTACATGCTATGTGATGCGATGCAATTCCATGCAAGGTACCTTGTCTTCCTAAGATGGTGGTGGAGTCGCGCTGGCAGTGCTAGTAGTATTGCGTCTGGTGCACTTCCTCAGTGATGTGGGGCTTTTGTCAGGATCAGAACTGGGTTCAGCAGCTGGTGTGCTAGGGCCTTCAGTGTTCTTAGATATTGAGGTCTCCATACGCCCAACAGATGACTTCAGACGTCATCTAGTCCATACTGACTGGGTTAGCATCCTCTGGCTTGGGTGTATTGTCTTGCTGAGTGACATTTGCAAATGTCATGACATCCTCAAATGATGGCAAGATCTCGTCCAGAATGACTAGAAGATTATAAGCCCAATGTGGGAGCAACTCCTTGTGAACAGGTGCCACAACTGCGTCTTGTTAGAGCCTCAATTGCATCTAGCTTTGTCGTGGCATATTGGTTTACAGCATCCTGTGAAGTTCCCTCGTGAGATTTCATCATATTCATCCTTCAAAACACCCTTTGTCCTAAAAAAAATAATATTAAAATTAAAACTAAAAAAAATAAAACAAATAAAAATAAACAAACAAACACTCACGACAAAATAAAACTTCTAAAAGATAAATTAAAAAGGGTTCAAGGGATGCAAACTCCAAAATATCATGAATTGTTATGGCATTTTTGTCGCGTTCTATTGGAGCACCAATATAGACAAAAAATGCTCCACATATATAACAGCGCCACCTTCAGTGTAAGTCGATAGAACCCGATCTGTAGGACCTTTGCAGTAGTCTTCTCTCCTCTTAAGTGTTCTCCACATAAAGCTAATTTGTGGTGAAATAGGATCTCTTTTCGCTCCCCGTTGCCATGGCATATTTTAATTGCTTGGGCAGCAAAGTCTTTGAAGAAGTAGGGGTCATCATCCTGCATCCACTTGTTCTTGCCCTGGCTATTCAAGTACGAAAGCAAAATACCACTAACGAGAAAATTGATAATGTCAGCATACCACGACAATACCGTGGCAAATAATAATTTCTCATCAGGGAATTTAATCTCCATTTCATTCCTTAGTTCTTTCACACTTTCTAGCCTAGAAAAATGGACAACTACTTGGAGTTTAGGATGAGGAAATTCAATGAAATCCAAAGGTTCAGATTTCGTACATGATCTAGCTATGAGTAAGCTAGACTGACCCGTCTCTTTTGAAATATCCTTAAGCTCATCTTTGTCTTCTTCATCGAGCTTCAAGTAATCACCAGTGCCTGAAAAATTGCCTTGGCAAAATTCTGCAGCTTCCCTTTGGTCATCAACTCCTGCTAGTGGGGGTGTCCTTTGCCATGGCATTATTTTGCCTGTCATCATTGGGTTTACTTATTGAACCTCCAGCTTTGTTCTCCAGCGAATGTAAGTCCTCTTGCAAATGAGATTCTTCATGCACAATCTCATAGCTAGGTTCTTCGAGTGTTTCCTCCCCAAACTTAGCATCTTTGTAGATCTGGGTGCCACTCCCTAAGGTGAATGTACTAAATTGCTCACTGCCTTTAGCCTTAGTGACTTCAGTATCATTAGGCAATCTGTCTGGTTGGTATTCTTGTAATGCCGTGGCAATATGACCCACTTGCATTTCCAAAGCTCTCAAAGACAAATTATGACTTTGCAACATTGCCCCTTGGCTTTGTAATAATTCTTCTTGACTCTTAATAGATGCATCGTGATCTTGTAATAGAGCCTTTGTAGTTGCCATAAAGTCTTGCATAGTGGCCTTTAGAGAACTTGTATTAAGAGAAGATGTTGTCCCCTTATTATGCCATTGCATATTCATTCGCAAGGCTGGGGGCTCATCCATATACTGCTGCTGAGCGAGATGACTGACATTAAAAGCTCCTTGATTTTCCCATGAGAAATTGGGATGCTGACTCCATCCATTGAAGCTTCCCACATAGTTGATGGACTTTTGATTGTTCGGGCATTCACATTCATGGTGATTGCCTTGGCATAACAGACATGCCAAACTATCAACCTTCACTTCTTTCACCTCATTAGAATGTTGCAAATTCTTCAACATATTGGTGATGGTAGAGAGTTGGGCCGACACTGAATCTTCAGCTTCCAACTTGAATGTCCCATATGCCTTCCTTATAGTTTCAAACCTTGAAGAGGGAAATTGGTAATCATGGTTAGCAATTCGATCAAGAATGCCAAAAGCCTCTTCAGGTGATTTGTCAAGCAAAGTGCCATTTGTCCAGGCATCTAGCATCATCCTCGTGGGTGTATTGGCTCCATTGTAGAACATCACGACTTGAGTCCAGTCGTGGAATCCATGGTTGGTACATTTGCGAAGCAATTCTTTGTAGCGGTCCCAACACTCATGCATTGACTCGTCATCAGCTTGGTGAAAAGATGCTATGGCATTCCTAAGATGGTTGTTCATATTCGGTGGATTATGCCGTACCACAAATTTTTTGCACAATTCAGCCCAAGACCTTATCGAGCCGGAAGGTAATCCATTGAGCCATGCCCTGGCATCATCTTTCAAAGAATATGGAAATAACTTCAATTTCAGCACATCTTCATGCACACCTTCTTGTCGAAAGGAGTCACAGACCTCCAAAAATTCTCGAACATGTTGCCTTGCATCCTCATGAGGAGCACCACCAAACTTTCCAATCAAGTCCAACATGTCGAACATAACTGGTTTGAGCTCGAATTGGGTTGCCTGAATCTTGGGAGGTATAATAGCAGGTTGTAGGTCATCTAAGGTGGGAGCTAAGTAATCTCTAATAGTTTGTGGTCGAGCAGCATTCCTAGCATTTGGAATTTTCGTGGCATTTAGAAATGCAGGATCCTTCACTTGATTTTGAACAACATGAGCCTCAGGTTCTATATGAAATAATGGTTCTTTGGGTCTTTTACGTGTCATGCGACAACGTAACACCTGAAAAAGGTAAACACAAAAACAAGTAACTATGTACAAAGAAAATAAATAAAACGGTGCAACAACTAAACTCAACATCATCAATTGCCAATCCTCGGCAACGGCGCCAAAAACTTGTTGCGTATTGCGAGTACTATAAAATTATACGCAAATAATGTGCAAGTATACACAATCGCAAAAGTAATATAGTGATGAGTGAGTATCGTCTCCATAGGGATTGGAAGGATATTGAGTAAAATTTATGCACTATTCTAAATTAATTAAGTATAGCTAATGATATTCACAAATGATTATGCCGAGGTAAATGAAATGTGTATGAGTAACAAAAAGAAATGTCATGGCAAAGGAAAATGGTAAAAAAAAAATAGTAAATAAATAAAAAGAAGATAATCCTCACGTGACAAGCTTTCAATGGAATGAATGGTAAGGATTGATCTAAGGATGTTAAACTTATCTCTCAGGCAGATTTAAGCTACATGGTCGTTACTTACTCGACAGGGCTTTCCTAAAATGTTCTCACAGGAACCTAACAGAATAGGATGTCAAGGCATCTGCTCTCACTCAACGATGTTGGACAGCCTACCCTATTGATAAAGACACCCTTTTTAGTCGTTAAAATCATATCCTAGTCTCTTCTGAGATCTAAGGGATTAGGTTATAATACTCCTAGGCCGGTTCAAAGCCCCTTGAAAATACTATAACCCATTGCTTATGAGGATCTTGTCTTGCGTTTCTTCCGAATACTTACAAGTATTTTTAGCTTAGGATTCTTCCGAACACCTAACCTTCATCTAAGAAATGGACATTTCCATGCCTCTTACAAGCCTAGATGGTGAAGCATTCATAAGCAAAGCAAATAAAGAACCAAAATAAACTTAAACATACCATTAAAAATAGTTTAAACATCCATTAAACCAACCACCACCAAATAAGTTAGTTCATGGTGGGGTTCGAAATATTCATAGAAAAATCAATAAAATATTCGTTCCAACAGCCCACAAATAAAATAAATAAAATAGGAGCAAAGGGAAGTGAGAAAGAGCCTTCGACGCGCGCCACCGAAGGTCTCCTTGGCCACCACGAACCACCTTAGCTCGCTAGCTCCTCTCGGCGCCTAGCTCACCACTCCTTGAAGCTTTATCAATGGAGGAAAACCCAAGGAGGAAGAAATGAAAAGGGAAAATAAAAATCTGATTTTTCTGCTACAGTATGCGTTTCCTTTCTTCCACACACTCTCTTTCTTGTGAGGTGTAATATATAATAAAAAATATCTATGGGTAATGATGAGGTTGTTGGGATATTGTTGGGTGCAAAATACCTCTCATACCCCTAGAATCACATGTTGTGCATGAACCTTATCCTCCAAGTGTCAGTGGTCCCCTAGCAGGCTGTTACAGCCATCATTTCACGTGCAGAACCAGCTGTCCATGTACAGCTGTATATTTTTGTCGTTTTCTGCGCCAGAAATGCCAAGGCATTTCAATCTGCTTCAGCAACGTGTGATTCCGTGGCATTACTTCCCAGCTCGCCTATTTTGCTTGTTATTTTCTGCACATCACTAAAAATCACACCTTCCTCCTCATATAGCACCTTAATAAAATAAAATAACACAACCACCACAAATGCAATTATATGCAGCTACATATATCTAAAATGACCTATATGTACCCTTAAACAAACAATAACTTAAGTGAAAAGGGCCTTAAAAATAGTCTTTTTACGGAGTTATCAGCATAGCTTTGTTTGTCACAATTACCCGGCTTGCCGCGAACCGTACCGGACAATTGGACATGCCAAACACTGTGACCCCGACTTCCTCAATATCCTTTTACAAGATCAAACAAGAGGACTCCAAGTTCTTCATCAAGATCGCTGGGTCGATATTGCTCCGATGGAGGGGGCTCTCATAGTTAATATCAGTGACCTCTTAAAGAACGCCGGTATCAAAATTTGAGGGCATAACTCTTGTATTCCCCGATTCTTTTCTGGAAAATCAGACGGTTTTGTTGTCGTTTCAATGCAGCTAATCTCGAATGACAAGTTGAGCATCAGTGAGCACAGGGTTTTGGCTAAATGTGTAGGGCCAAGAATATCAGTGGCATGTTTCTTCACAACCCATTTTCAAGCACCCAACAGGCTTTATGGTCCATAAAGGATTTGTTATCAGCTAACAGTCCACCTTTGTACAAGCAGACCTTGATTAAAGATTATCTCAACTCCTCTAAGGATTACAATGATTCTGCATTTGCTTTTCTGAGGTTGAAGAAATAAATAAATCCACTCATATGGCTTAAAACAATTTCATATCGCCTTTATTTAAGAGGATTATGATGCTTTAATGTACTTTTCCGATACAGTTAACGAAACATTAGAACGCATATCGAGCACAGTTTAACAGAAAGGATGATACGACATTCATAGTTGAATCAATTTATGCATTACATGATATGAAACAAACAGTGAACTACCTCCTGCGAACAGTGCAGCAGAGTATTATACTTGAGTTCATTACCTAAAATTGAAGCCATCATTTGGCAATGAATAGAATGTTGCATAAATCAAGCTACTACATGGACATTGATGGCCTCCAGTAATCTCTATTTGCTATCAGGATCAAAACAAAATCACTGGCTTTCGATTCTTTTCATTCCCAATCTTCATCACTCAATTGATCATCGGTACCGTCTCTAGGTGGCTTAACCACCAGTAGCACAGTTCCTAGACACTCCTTCACACCCATTGCCTTCAATTCTGAACCTGTATCCACCTTCAACCCACCATTAACCACCGCCAAGTAAAACGTGTTGTCCAATTCGACCTCCTTTCGACTCCTATCCGTAACCACCAATATAGCCTCTTCCATATACCAGCTATTCGCTTTCCACGGTATAACTCTGGCATCACTGAATGCCACAACAACTCCACTTCTAAGCCCTGCTAGCGGTTTCCAACCGGGCAACACCACCCATCTTTTCCACCCTTTCTCGGCCTCCACAACACCGAAATCCCCTCCACTTGTATATTCCGAAGGTGCTTCCGAAATCAGCTCGACATCCTCCTCCGCCTTACAAACAGGTAAAACCACCACACTAGTAGCCTCAGCAACTTCGCCAAACTGCATCCTAACGACCGGAACCCGAACCCTGTTTCCCAAATCTTCCTTCTCTTCTTCTCCATCTTTTTTACCTTCCAACTCTTGCAAAACCTCGTTTTTAGCACTCTCAGACACAGCCAATTGCAATGCGTGCTTCAAGTTGGTAGTTCTTTCTTCAGAAGGATTCCTATGTTCCCTACTTTGTCTATAATACATAAACGACAGACAATCCCCAGGAAGATTATAATCAAAGCTTCCCAAACCTTTATCCAATTGCCTTCTCGGGAAATCTTTCATAGCTCTAGCCAAATCCCGTGCACCTTTAGCATCCAACCTTTGTTCAATAATATATCGAACAGCTTCGGCTCTTTGGGAAGAACTCAAAATCCTAGTCTCGTAAAGCAATTCAGCACCACCGGTATCGAAAAAAGATATTAGACTTTCATCAGTATTGGCTTCAACAAGAGAGGCTCTTACCTGGGAAGCAACTATCATTGTATTCTGTTCAACCCCAGAAATCCCAGTTATTTCTTCAATGGAAGGAGGTGAAAAGCCTTCCTGGTAAAGAGACGGGATAAGCGGGGCATACTCAAACCAAAGGCCAAGCCGGTCGGTTAACACGTCTAAACGACCCAGAGCGTCGAGTGAGCGGAATTTAGAAGGGAGTGGAGATGGAGGTGGCCTGAAAGGTTGATAAAGCTGTTGCTGTTGAGGTTGGGGAGTGGAGGGGATAAGAGTGGCTGAGATGGGTTTTAGGAGGGGTTTTGAAGGGGAGAACGGAAGATGAGAAGATAAAAGAGATGGGGTTTGGATTAAAAATGGAAAAAAGAAGGGAGTTTTGGGATTGAGAGAGGTTGAAGAGAGCATGGTTAGAGAAAGATAAAGGTTGAATATTTGCAGAGAGGAGTGGTAAAAATGGGGGTCAGCGCCTTATCTGATCTAATAGCTTAAAAATATCTATCGGAAGAATTAGATTTTGGGGTTGGGCCTCTTCAAATACCCATTTGGTTTGTGGTCTATGGCCGAAACCCTACTGGATCTCTAACTTTCAAAAAGGTCTACACACATTTGGTTTTTTTTAATATAATATTTTAAGGTAAATGCGAATTTTCATAATGTGAGATTACATAAATTTTCTTGATCACTTAATTAATTAACGAATTTAAATATAAATTTTTTTATAACAAAATAAATTAATATGTTTTAATATATACAAGCAAAATTGATTTAGCAATATGTTAAAAAAATCTCAAACTTTTAACCGAAAAATCATATGATCTTAATTTTTTTAGTTTCCGATATTTTATTTTATGGTAAAATATCTATTGATTGGATAAAAATTGTTAGTTAATTAATATTCAACATTTATCGTTGATGTAGTAAGTTTTATATATTTAAAGTGATGACGTGATACATATCACATATTTAAATTGATGACATGTCATATATTATATGTTTAAAATGATGGTGTCACACGTGTCAAATGTCTAAAGTGATGACGTGACACTTGCATGTATTCAAAGTGGTGGAATAATATGTGTTATATATTTAAAGTGATAATATGACATATATTACATATTTAAAGTGTTAACGTGACATTTACTACATATTTAAAATGATGATAAGAAGTATATCATTTATTTAAAGTAGTGATTTAATATATGATAAAGTAAATATTTTATAGAGTGATTATCATAAATCCTTTCCTACTATTGCTACCGGGAGGAAGTTGAAAGATGATCTGGAAGCAGCTTGGGTATGCGAAAGCAGGAGGCCATGAATCAATACTAAAATTAGCCGACACAAAGATTTGGCATCCGTTATCGGAGCTTGAAACACTGTTTTAATTGGTAAACTGATTAAGATTGAGGAATTGACACCTTAGCACGTGATAAATGTGTAATACTCGTACAAATTAAGGCTTATTACAACAAACAATGCCAATATTACAAATACAAACACATTAAAATCAAAGCAAAGCAAACCGAACATGGTTGTGGAAGGAACAATAATCAAGGGCTGCACAGATAATCGGTGGAGGTTCCCCTTCCACAGTCATTGAGTAGGAGGCTCAACGAAATCGGAACATCGAGTTTAATAATGTCCAACACATTAGCTCTAATAGCCGTACAGAGACAAACCGAAACTTCAAGATCAACCAACCCTCGGATCAAACTACAGCATTGCTGGGTCGGCACGTTACCAACTTCAAGATTCAACAAGCCTCCCAATACATTAAGACACACGCCGAGATTTAGGGGGGTTATAATTACCGGACCGACCATCGGCACTTGTTAGTAAAATAGACTGCTGCAAAACGAGGCGTTAGCACTGACTGGAAAATATTAAATAAAATAATCAATCAGAATGATAACCGTGTCGTGGTAATCCACTGCCTTATAAGCAAATTCGCCCGATGTGTGTAATCACTACAATGGACGAACAACCCCCTGAGGTTAACACGGCTCTCCAAAAATTCGTACACCCGAAAATTGGAGTGAACTTGGTGGTATTGCTCTTCTCTCAACTCAAACAACACTCAAAAGAGAGGAGTGTTTTAAAGCAAATAATTGCTTGGGATATCTCAAAGTGAATGAAATTACCCTCTATTTATAAGCTAAATAATGAGGGCAAAATAGTCACTTTCAAATCACAATTTAATTCTATTAAACATAGAATTAAAAACCATTAAAAGACTGTTACAAATTGAGCATTACCAACATTCCCCCACTAATGCGAAAGAATTCTTTCGTAAAGATGAGAGCAAAGAAGTTAAAACACGAGAAGAGAAATAGAGAGATCAGTTGCTTAAGCACTAGTGAACGTATCTGGAACTAGTACATAGTGATGATGAGCAATCCTTCTCTTAGATAAGTGAAACTAGTCTGGAACTTTCTAAGATAGGGGTAAACTCATAACACACAACTAACTAACACCTTCATCCACCTGAGTCCTCGATGTGTAAGATATATATATATATATATATATATATATATATATACAAAAGTATATATTTGGCCATCTTACCTCAGGATTCTAGTAAGTGTGCTAGAAAAATGGCCCAATATTTTTCATAGAAGGCGGCTAACCCTTCTCACTTACATATGTTATTTCATCACGTTTATCTCGACATAAACCACCCTTAAAAGGGATATGAAATAATTAAGAGCTTTTATAATAGCTCAACTTCACAAAGGGTATGGTGACTTTCTTCAAGTTCATTATTAATGAATCACCCAAACTCTGGGCTAAGAAGTCATTAAAAATAAATATTCAACCTCATTTATCGGTAAATTAAATAAGTCATTCTTACTAGAACCATCCAAATACTTGGATTTGAATTTATTAAGAGTTTAACAAACTCAACCTTTCTGTCGGTAAGTTCATTATTTCCTTCTCATTTAGGAATACCCACTCACTCTGGGTTATGAACTTATTAAGAATAGATATTCAGCCAAAATCGGTAAATTCATCAAGTCTTTCTCACTAAGACCACCCAAATCCTGGGCTATGAATTTATTAAGAGCAATTAAGCTCATCCTGGGCATGCACATTATTCATCATAGGGATAGGCAGTAGGAATGTGCACTATGAGTCTTTCCATGGTTTCGTTTGACCACATGGAACTTAGATAACTAAGTTGGGTATCCACCATGAATTCCTCAACCAATGGGCTTTAGACCCATCCCCCTCGACGAATCTAGGACCAAAGATCTGCTAGGTTCCTTTCCGACTTCACATACTCTAAAGAGAGCACTCCATTCTTTATTAAGTGTCTAACTGATTCATGCCTTATGCGAATGTGTCTTTCCTTACCATTGTACACATATCACAGCTTGCGAATCACACAACAAAGAAATCGGAGGAGTCGATTTTTCCCACAACAGAATATCTGCTAACAAGCTTTTGAGCCACTCGGCTTCTTGCCCAGCTAGGTCAAGAGTTATAAACTCTAACTCCATGGTAGAACGAGCAATACAAGTATGCTTTGATGATTTCACAAGATTACTGCTCCACCTAAAGTAAAAACAAACCCACTCGTAGAGCTTACCTCATCATTATCAGAAATCCAGTTGACATCATAATATCCTTCCAGTACTGCAGGATAGCCAACAAACTCAAGTTTCCAATCCAAAGTACCCTTAAGATACTTCAGTAAGCGTCTAAGAGCAATCCAGTGTTCACCACTCGGATTATGAGTATATCTACTTAGTCTACTCACATCATAAGCAATATCAGGCCGAGTATAGTTCATTAAGAACATTAAGCTTCCGATGAATTTATCATATTCTGTTTGGGAAACGCTACTTCCTTTATTCTTAAAGAGATATATGCTAGTGTCACAAGGGTTCGAACAGGGACGACATCAAAACTGTCAAATTTCTTTAACACTTTCTCAAGATAGTGTGCTTGACATAAAGAAAACCCTTTTCCAGTAATTTTGACTCCTAAGATTACATCAACTTCTCCCAGATCCGTCATCTCAAATTTAGTAGACAAGAAATTGTTTGTTTTGTTAATGGACTCAATGTTAGAACTGAAAATCAACATGTCATCAACATACAAAACTTATGATGACGTAATCAGTACCAAACATCCTCGAATACACACAAGCATCTGAACCATTCACAACAAAACCAAAACTAAATATAGTTTTTTGAAATTTCTTGTACCATTGTTCTCATATAGATCTCCATTAAAAAATGCAGTCTTAACATCCATTTGATGTACTTGCAACTTATGAATGGAGGCTAGTGCAAATAATGCACGTATCGTTGAGATGTTCATAACGGGAGAGTAAGAATCAAAGTAGTCTAAAACAAACTTTTGAGTGAACCCTTTGACAACTAGCCTTGCCTTTTACCACTGGATCAAACCATCTTGTCTCATTTTCTTCCAAAAGATTCATTTGCTACAGATTGGTTTAAATCCTCTAGGCAAGTCAACTAATCCCAAGTATGATTAGACATTATCGATTCTAGTTCATCATTAATAATGCGCTTTTCTAGAAACTAGCATCGATAGATCTTATAGCATTTTTAGGATCCTCATATAATATTTAAGCTATATGATCAGAAAGAAAGTCTAAATCATTTATCTCAGAAATAAAGGAAATGATAAAATTTGGTCCAAATAGTCTTTTACTTCTTCTAGTCTCAAAATCAATTTCTTGAGAAGACCTAACAGAAATACTAGAAGAAGTTGATAGAATATTTTCTATTTGAGTTTATGTATTTAATCTACATTTTAAGACACCCCCACATTTCTAACATTTTAGGATATCTATAAGTGTCTTGTAAAACGTGTAAACAAATACTCAATCATACTAGAGTAAAGTTTGTTATGAGTTTTAGCCATAAAACTATATTTTAACAAACTTAAGTTTTGTTTACACATAATTATATTCTCAAAGTTTTGAGAAGTTACAAATCATCAAGATTAAAATTCATAAACCAATATGAAATTCTTTATGATTTTTCCTCATTCAAAATGAATTTCGATTTTTTCCTAACATCAGGAAAAAATGATCTCAAGTTTAAAACAAGAGATTTTAGCACAACTGAAATAGATAATCTCTTTTCTTTCCTCTGCTTAGGAAAATCACTTAAAAGAGATTTAATAGCTACAACACACTTATAGTAGCAATAGATTCTATCATATACTCATTCATGATATTCAACATATTAGCCTTAAAGAGATCATCATATATTTTATTTACTATGACTAAATTTGGTATTCACTCAACCAATTTAATCTCTACTCTTTTAACTTCTGCACTAAGTTTTAAGAGTTTTTATCTTGTCATAGTATTTTATAAATTGGAATAGTGAGCATAGTAATGAACAATGCACCAGGTAGGTTTCTATGAAAGAGAGGTGCACTAGGCACACTTAAGTACCAAGTCTTCATAGAACCAATCCT